TGCCCCACAAAAATCCAGGCACACAGATATAGAGAACTAGCAGTTATATCCTTTCATGATAAAAACACTCAACAGACTAAGAATAAAACTTCCTCAACCTCATAAAGTCATACAGAAACCCCACAGTTAACATTGTAATTAAGGGTGTGAGATGAAAGCTTTCCTTCCAAGACCAGGAGCAGGACAACGCCAGCCCTTCTTACCACCTCTACTCAACATCTTCCTGGATGTTCTAGCCAGGGCTCTTGGGCAAGAAAGAGAAAAGGCATCTAGACTGGAAAGGAAGAAATAAACTTTCTCCAGAAGAGATGACATATCTTGTATTTAAAAATCCCAAGAAGGCCACAGCATAACCATTAGAACTAGGGAGAGTTCAGCAAGTTGCAGCATTCAAGATCAATATTGAAAAAAATCAATTCTATATCTATACATTAACAATGAGCCATCTGAAATTGAAATTTAAAAAAATTCTGCTTACAAAAGCACCAAAAGAAAATCCACAGGAATAAATTTAACAAAAGAGGTGCAAGACTTGTCCACTGGACACTACTAAGCAATTGTTGAAAGCAATTAAAGACTTAAAGATGGAAAGACAGTCCAAGTCCATGGACTGGAAGACAACGCTGTTAAGATGGCAATATTTGCCAAATGTGTTACAGATTCAGTTCCTACAAAAATTCCAGCTGCCCTTTTTCGCAGAAATTGAAAAATACATCCTAAAATTCACAAGGACACACATAAGGCACCCAGAACAGCCAGAACAATCTTAAAAAGAACAAACTTGGATTTCAAATTTTACAAAGCTACACTAATCAAGACCGTGTGCTTCCAGCAGAAGGGCAGGCATGCATATCAATGGACTAGAACTGAAATTACACAAAGAAAGCTGTACAGTAGGGGTCAGCTGAATTTCAACAAAGGTCCCACAAAAATTCTTTGAGGATCAAAACCACAATGAGAAACCCATTAAGGATAGCTATTTACCAAAACAAAACAAAAAAAAATAATTGTTGGCAAGGATGAGTAGAAATGTAAAATGGTACAGCAAAACAAAACAGTGGGAATCAAAAAACTTTACCATATGATCCAGTAATTCCACTTCTGGGCATATGCCCGAAAGAACTGAAAGCAGGGAATGGACCACATATTTGTGCACTCATTTTCATAGCAGCCCTACTCACAGTACAAAATCATGAAGATACAAATGGGAGAGAAAAATAAGAAAATCAGAGGACTAACCAGCCCAAGCGGTCATGGCATTTTCAATGAAACATACCGAGATGTAAATGACACGCAGTTCCCGACTGAAAGGCCCTCCGAGTGCACAGCACGAGAAACCGAAGTAGCCTCCTGGCGTCAAGTTTCAGACGGACAGTGCGGACAGAGAGTCAAAGTTACGGACCCAGGAATTGGAATGACTGGGCTTCTCACTACAGGCCCTGAAGGTTGGAGCACCAAGGGGCATTCGCATCAGGACTGGGTGAAAAGGCCTTCCAACCTAGGCTTCTAAACCCTGACCATCAATGTCAAGTGGAATAAATATACTCTCAGACTCAAAGCAATGTTCCTTCTCCACATCTTTCCTCAGAAAGCTCCCGGAACACAAGCACAATGAGACACAACAGCAAGAAAGACATGGTCCCCCAGAGTGAACAGGTGCACCTGCAGAGGAAGGAGACGTGAAGCCCGTGGATGGTGACAGGGACGTCAGGACGGTAAAGGGGCAGCGGAGGTGGCCAGTGGGACGACGACAGGCCCAAGGAGAAGACATCACCGGGCAGGGCGTAAACGACAACACAGAAGGAAGGAAGGAAGGCAGTCTCCCGGGAAAACACGGGGCAGGGGGTGGGTCACAGTTCACCAGCACAAACAGCAAGCGGGAACGCAAACCACACACTGTCCTAGTCAAAACCAAGACAGGGCCCTGCACGGGGGAGGAGAAAGCATGAGCACATGAGGAGGTCAGGAAGGAAGGGATGACATCCACTCTGCACAGTGTGGAGTGAGGTTCTCATGGTGACAAACCAAGAAACGGCAGCAGGAGCACAGAACTGACAGAGCAGCAGATACAGAGCATCCACATCAACAGCGACAGCATCTGCCTCTGACATACGGGATGGCCTCTTCCCAGCACACCTCACGAACCCAGCCAGCTCTCTGCACAAACGGCTGACAGGAAATAAAATTTACAGACAAGAGAGGGTATTCAAGAGCACACTTCTCATCTGCCTTTGCCCTGGGCCCTCCCTGGAATACTAAAGCTTTAACAAGCAAACTGAAAATGATAAAGTTTCCATTCTTCCTCAACAATACAATCATTAGATAATCATGTCTTGTCAATGTAAATTTTTTATAAACAAGTATTATGAGCACTAGTCAAAACTATATGCTCACAAGGACAGCTTACCAAATAGTTACAACCATCCACTGTCTCCACAAACTAAATTACCTTTGGTTCTAAACCAGCTGCTGTGTCAGGAGCCCGGTCCCCACATAATGGTTTCAGAAGAACTTTAACACCAGTGACCTCTTTACCAAAGCGTCACAGACTAAAACACACCACACTGAATGAGGCATCTTCCGGCACAGCGGGCGGCAGCGCACGGCCACTGGGCCGAGAGCAGGCGTCTACGCAGGCAAAACCACAGGGAGGGGGGCAGGGCTTCATTCAGTTTCCTCGGTTGCCAAGAATTTTTCACAAACCTCATACGGCGATACAGCATCTAACAACAGACAGCTAGAAGCTAATCGTGTAGAATTTGCTTTCCGAACACATTACGTGTGTGAACTGTGAAAACACTGTGTGTACAACTGTGCAAAACGGCCAGGTACTATCCCGACTGAAGCCCACTGCTCAGCTATACCGAGACCCCATGGGGTGGGGGGGGACCCCCTAAGATGAAGGAGGTTCTGTTGAACATCCTCACTCTATTCTCAGGCTCAGTATGATTTCAGCCACCAGAGGACACACTTGAATAACAACTAAACTCAGGGCCCCGAAGCATGATTCCAGCTTCTACAAAGTGAGGCTCGAGACGTACAAGTCTCTTCTGCCAGCTGAGAGATGGACACAGAAAACTGCCACTTTAATCAGATGACTGCTCTTCCTAGGTCGCTAGCTGGGTATTAAGGCACCTGCTCCATCGCCGGTCTCTCAGAGATGTAATCAAGCCTCTCCTCAAACAGCTCGATGAACACACTCTAAAGAGGACAGTTTTTTCCCAGAACTAAATTCAAGTTTTAGCAAACATAAGCAAATTCTACAGTATTTTATTAGTGGTGTGGAATCTTGCTAAGCTGAACAATCTACTATCTTCACATAACAACAAAAAAACCCTGTCCCGATGTAAATAAGTCTAGAATATTCAAGCATTCCAGTCAGCCCCTCGGAGACACACACACACTTAATTTCCTGAACAATGGTAGGAGACCTTTAAATAAATGTCTTGTTTCATACAGACGTATCTCCAACCAAATCAAGGCGGCGACCTTGTGTGGTCAGATCTTAGAGTGCTGGATCTTAGGTAACTGTCTTGTAAAAAACACAGAAACATGAGGTTTCTGCTCCGTCAGTAAAGTTTCTGAAGAACTAAGCCTAGTTTCCCAAGCACTGTGTCTGACTGAGTTTTATATCAATGGCTGTAAAGGACATGGGTCCGTTTCCCTAGGACCACCCTCTTCTCTTGGATGAGAATCTGTAGGAAGGATTTCAGGTTACGTGGCACAGTGGAAACTCTCATTTTTTTTCACAGATGTCCAAACTCTTCTGTACTTTCTAATATATTTTTTTTAAAAGGGTGGAGGTGTTGCTAGTGGGGAAAAAACACATGCCCGGGAGTCTGGAAGAGAAGGGTCTAACCCAGCTCTGGAGCCTCACCTAAACCCCTCCCAGTCTGCACTGGGGCCCCAGACCAGCCCCAGGGTTACCACGCTTGGGGAACTCAGTGCGAGCATCACAGTACACAGATACAAGGGAAAATCAGCAAAGGGGAAAGGTGCGTGGGGAGAGCCCAGGTGGCGGTGGACTCCAGCTCCCGGCGTGGAGTCACACAGGTTGCCCGGTTCCCAGCAGCGAGAGGCCAGCGAGCGTGGAGTGCTGCCCACAGGGAAAACTCGCAGGCTCTGAGTGCAGGCTTCACCGGGGCGGCCACACTGGCACCTCTGCCACAGGCTCCCAGAAGGAGAGCAGTTGTGCAGCTCAGAGACCCACCCCATCCCACCCTGTGGAAACAGGAGGAGGCCCCCAAGATCCATGTTCCCAGGAAGCACAGGCTGACCCTGCAAGCTCGCCTCGGGGACAGAGGACTGGGGCCTGCGTGTGGCCGCTCTTCTGTGCCCACGCCTCTGGATCTGTCTCACCATGTCATTCCCCCGCCCCCTGAGCTGCAACCCCCGCACACAACACACGGCTCATACCACAGACAATGGTCCATCCACAGCCGAGCGCCACCGTGAGCTCCGCAGCGCGGTGACGTCCCTGGAGCAGGGAGGGTCTTACTGCTTTCCCAACGATGATGTGCTGTCGCACTGAACCACCTCTGCCTCTGGCCCTGCTCTCCCCGCTCACCTGTGCCCTCAGCTTCCCTAACAGACGGGTTAGGACTCCTCAGCTCACCTTCCTCCCACCTGTTCTCACCATGTTCAAAGGCCACAAGGTGCAGGTTTATAAGATACAGGAATTAAAAAATCCTCTTCTGCAGGGGGTGCGCTGGAGCTCAGTGGCAGCGCTCACACTTGTAGGCACGAGGTCCTGGGTTCCATCTCTAATAACTCCATCCCAAAAAACAAAAAATCCACAAAACTATTCTGGGTGAGGAAGTCCTGCTTTTGTGGAAGTGGAGTGAAAGGGGCCCCAACAAGTGTGATCTGGACGAGATCAATCCTCTAACTGTACATTCCGTCAGTAAAGTTATCACAACCAAGTAAGTTGTGCAAACCAAGACGGTAACTGAAAAAGAGCAGGGGAAAGAGCAGAAGAAAGGAAAAAAGTCTGAACTCACCGGGACTGCGGCAATCCTTTTTTACTGAGATCTGCCCTCACACGTTCTCCTACATGTCTGTAAATTTCCACTAAGCTGTTTATTGCTGCATCCCGAACCTAGACGTAAAAGAAGACATCTTACAGCTGCACCTCCTGCTGTGGACACCGCAGGCTGTACAACACCCCACGTTCACCACCAATTACCAACGCAACTGTGCGCACAGCCCCTTACCGACGCTGGGCTGGTGAAGCCACGTCTGACAGTGCTGACTCTGTGGGCACAGTTCTAAAGAGCAGAAAATTTAGGTCCCAGCCCCATGCACACGTTCAAGTCCACACCCCTTAATGCTCTCCCTCCTTTAAGATGATGCTAGAGACTAGAATTTTCAAACCATCTCTCCAAAATAGAAAACACTACAAATAAATGAATTATTCTAAAAATAAAACATCATGTAAAGCATTCAGGATGTAAGTCATTTAAACAAATATTAAGTGAGCAACAAAAAAGGGGTATATAGGCTACACCCGGCCTATTTTCAAGAAACCCACAGTCCTAAAGGGAGATGGGAAGGTCCACGAATTCTGCACTGAGCACAGGGCAGGATGTGATCAATGTTACACAAGAGCAGAGAGAGCTCGCACAGCTCAGGGGAGGGGGCAGCAGACCAGAGGACACCAAGAAGCACTTTATGGAAGAGGAAGGAAGCTATAACTGTGCTTAGAAAGACAGCATCTTACCAGGTAAAGCTGGAATGAGACAGGTTCCAAAGAAAGCAAGTAAGCAATCTGGCCAAACACAGATATGAACTAAGAAAGAAGTAGCAACACATAAGGCTCAAGGAACAGAATGGAAAAAGAGAGAGAGAGAAACAAACAAACTTGGGGAAATCTGAATACAGACTGTCTGCACCACACATTAGCGCTGTGTCAGTGTTACGTGTCCTGGGTGTGAAAAAGACATGTGACTGTATCAGAAAGCATCCTCGTTGTTAGGAGATATACACCCAGGTATCTAGGAGTAAAGTACTTCCAAGTGATCCAAGGAGAGAAGTCTGTCTCTGTGTGTGTGAACACGTGTGTGCACTGCTGAGACAGAAAACAAACGTGACAAAACGTTCAACGGCAAACGTGGGGTGCACCCCTCTTCCCATCTTTCTGCAAGTCTAAAATTCTGCCAGTAAAAAGGCGGGAAGAAAAAGGTGATTAAACACAGTGGGCTCAGGGCCAGCTGGGGAGGGCCGATGGGTGGGGAGGAGGAGAGAAGCGCACTTAGCGCAGGAGGCAAAGCTGGAAGCGCAGCAGGACCTGAGGTTTGTTTCAAGCAATGAAGTAAAGAGCAAAGGAGAGAGGAAGAAGCAGGGAATAAACAATTTTCAATTCCAAGCGCTGCAAGCTACCCCTTCATTTACCTGTGGCACATGACAGGTGATTTTCCTACAGTTTTCCCTCTTAGGATAGAAAAAGGCAAATCCTAGGTTCTATTACCCTCTCACCTCCAACCTTATGCTGTGGACTGAACCATAT